CAGGGTGTAATATGAGTACAACCAACTTAGTAAGTAACAATAATAAATAAAGAACTGAAAGTAGTGACGAGCTTCTCAGCTAAGTCCAAATACAGTACTTTCCAATATAAATGAGTACGCATACTCTCAAGTTCAACATTTAAGATTTCACTGAATTTTCATATCAAGTTTGACTGAAACAGAAAATAATATTTTTTTAAAATTTCCAAAAATAGTGATATATGACAGCTGAAATGCAGCAAATAATGAAATCAATGCATCATCTCAGAGTAACAGTCACTCAGTCCTCCCATTCACTCCAACCTCACAGTCACTCATCACTCGGTACTCGCACTCGGCACTCACACTCAGTAGGTACATGCGCTCATCAGGGGTGTGTACAGACTCCGGAGGGGCTTCTTCAGCCCAAGCGCTATATCAAGCCAATCATGGCATAAATCAATGAAACATGCTGGGGAGTGCAGCCCGATCCATAAATATTCTTACAATTAGGCCTTCGGCCTCACTCAATCATCAACCTCTCCAGTCTTTCGGGCTCTCAAAAATCATGATAAGTAGCCCAACAACAATGATATGATGCATCAATAATGAATAAGAGAGACTGAGGTAAAAATGTGCAAATAGAATTGTGACTGAGTGCAAAACAGTAATTTAGCACATAATTTCACAAGTACACGACCTCTGTGGGTCCCAACAGTATAGACATATGATTTAAACATGATTTATAGATCAATTTCTCTAATACGGGAAAAAATGTACGATATCAACACATTTTTCAACTACACAGTTCCATGGAATTGACCAAGTCATAATTCCTACGGTGCACGCCCACACGCCTGTCACCTAGCATGCCGTCACCTCAAAACCAATCACATAATACATATTCTTGGGTTTCATACCCTCATGACCAAATTTAGAACTATTACTTACCTCAAACTGTGTAATTCTTTATTCCTCTATGCCATTGCCACGAGAATTGATCTCCGAAATCCTCTTATCTAGCCACAATTAATTCGATTCAGTCAATACCAATTATTGTAATTAATTCCACAAGGAAATACTAATTTTGTAATAAAAATCCGAAATTCACTCAAAAATCGTCTGTGGGGCCCACGTCTCAGAATTCGACGAAACCTATAAAATACGACAACCCATTCAATTATAAGTCCACCCATACCAATTTTATCAAATTCCGATAACAACTTGGTCTCCAAATCTAAACTTTTTGTTTTTGAAAGATTTTGCAAAACTTCCAATTTCTTCCATTTAAATCCAAATTAAATGATGAATATATCCATGGATTTATGAAATATAATCACTTTTGAATATAGGACACTTACCCAAGTTGAAATCTTGAAGAAATCCTCAAAATCGCCCAAGAACCGTGCTCCAAAAATTCAAAACGAAATGAATGAAATGACCATTTTTGGTCCTTAAGTTTCTGCCCAAAAAATACTATTTTGGTCGCTAAAAGCCCAATCCCGTCACTAAAAGTGTCAAATCTGGTCGCTAAAGGTGCGCACCAGAACTGTTTACACTATCAGTTTTATTTTTACTAAAAAGGCTCTAACTCCATCATACGAACTCGGAATTCAACGATTCTTATTCTTATGAGTCACAAATAATAATACGAACCTACTCGTTCAATTAAAACTCAATTCGGAGTTCATTTGCTCAATGCGATACCAATTTCGCTCGTTAAACATTTAATTCATGTTTCGCGCTAAAAACCCAACCGCGACTTGATGGAATTAGACCAAACTTTTCAGATCACTCCTATAATTCATTATCAAAATCTCGAATATCTCGAAATCAAATTTCGATCTCTAGAAGTAAAAATGGATTTTTGGATCATTACATGCGTATGCTGAAAACATCAAACTCTTCTAAAACTCTTCCCCGACAATCTGTAGTATATCAACCATAACTTCTTGTATTCAACTCCAACTACCAAACGGTTTAAATTTCTGCAAACTAGATATAAAGGGCAATAACTTTCATGTTTTGCTCATCGCCCAGCTCCTTATAGATTGCGAGATATAAGCTCCCAAAATCGGCTCCACGCATCAGAAATTTTTGGCGAAATAGAAATTTCTGGCAAAACTGCTTTACCAGTTTTCATTCAGTCGACCATAACTTTCTTTACAAATGTCCAAATGATGAATGATTTAACTTTCTGGAAACTAGAATCAAAGAGCTACAACTTTTATGTTTCGAAACTTTTCAGATTCCTTATAGATTTCAAGATATAAGCTTCCAAAATCAGCTATGCGATTGTACCAGTTGCTGGCCAAAAACAACTTCTGCAGCATAAAGATTCCAGCAGCTCCTTTTGTCCGAAATCCATTCCGTTAACAGTCTGAAATCCACCCGAGACCCTTGGGACCTTTACCAAATATACCAACATGTCCCAAAACACAATACGAACTTAGTTGAGGTTTCAAACCATGCCAAACAACCCCGAAATTACGAATCGTGCATCGAATCGAAATATGAGTTTTCAAATCTTCCAACTTCTATATTTTGCGCCGAAACGTATTAAATCAATTCCGATTGACATCAAATTTTGCACACAAGTCATAAATGACATAACAGACCTATTAAAAGTTTCAGAATCGGATTTTGACCCCGATATTAAAAAATCAACCCTCCGGTCAAACTTCCCAAAAATCCGACTTTCGCTATTTCAAGCCTAATTCCACTACGGACCTCCCAAAATTTTTTCGGACACGCTCCTAAGTCCAAAATCACCATACAGAGCTATTGAAATCATCAAAATTCAAATCCGAGGTCGTTTACACATAAGTCAATATTCGATCAACTTTTTCAACTTAAGTTTTCAATTATGAGACTAAGTGTTTCATTTCACTGCGAAGTCCTTACGAACCCGAACCAACTAACCCGGTAAGTCATAAAATAACTGTAAAGAATAACTTGAGCAGTAAATGGGAGAATGGGGTTATAATACTCAAAACAACCGGACGGGTCGTTACAATTATGGAAGAAAAAAAAAGTATTTTTAGGAGAAACAAAAGCAATTATGGAGAAACAGAAAAAAATAATTTCTCCAAAAGCACTTTTTTGAAAAGCACTTTTGAGAAAAATAGACTTAGAAGCAGTTTTTAAAAGGTTGGCAAAATACTAATTGATGCTCAGAAGTATTTTTTAAATTAATTAGCCAAACACAAATTGCTTCTTACCAAAATTACTTAGAGCATAAGGAAATTAGAAATTGGGAGACGGTTATAAAAGTAATTTGGATTATATCAGTAGAATATAGACTCGCCACGTGGATTATTTTATGATGACAAGTGCCATTAGAGTTACTACGACAATGAAGAATGACATGTACAAAAGATGTGAATAACACTCTCAGAATAGTCACGCATATACCGTGCATGTTAGCTTCGAAGTTAAACATAAGAGTATAGCTACGAGACTGCTAATCACAATCATTAATAGGTTCGAATATGGAAAGGATCAGTCAATCCCTGATTACACGTGATTTATCATCATTATCTCAACCATTACAAATCAGTCACATAACAAATATTTAATGCAATAAATGACAGTAACTGCAAGAGCTAAGCAAGGCAAACTATAAGGAATGATAATATTATTTTAACCCCCCTTCCTTATCTTGTATCCATCGAAAAATTATTGAGTTATACTATCAATTACAGAATTCGATTATAGTTCTCTATTGTTGGAAGATTGTTACTTTCATACGAAGAAAGGATGCAATCATCAATAAGATTTATTTTTCATTTATTATCTCAATTTATTTTCTTATTATTATTTGTTCCTATTTCGTATCAGTTATACTTGAAAAAGTGAATTAAATCGGTTGTTAAAAATTTGAATTATTTATTTAATTATTTTGATCTCAAAAATAATTTTTGGGTTAAACACCGATAGACCATGAACATACACCTCATGTGTTTTTATGGAAAATTTTATGGTCTTTTCTAGTCTAGAAGAAAAAAGAGGTTGCGAACGTACACCTAATATAACAGACAAAATAGGGGCACTATGCAATCTCTAACGAACGCATGACTAAAAAATACGTGGATGATTATGATATTGATCAAAGAACACCTACAGTAACACGTATATATTCAAAAGAAAAAAAGGGAACAACTAATTAATTAGCTTTTGATAGATGATGGTGGGATCACATTTGATTTTAGAATTATTATAATCGATGTGAAATATTATTATACTAATTACTCTCTGAATGTCGGAACACACGATGATCAGAGACGGAGGTAGAATTTGAAGTGTGTGGGTCCTAAATTTTAAAATAAAACCCTACCTTCAGCGGGAATCAAACCCCCATCTTTCCTAGCAAACCCACATACCTTACCGTTGAACCAAGACCCCTTTTGTTATTGGGTTCGGCAGTGTATACTTATATAGATTTAGTAAATATTTCAATACAAATACAGAGTTTCGAAAAAAGTCACTGGGTTCACCCGAACTCGCACCCACTATTGTAGCTCCGCCCATGACAATGACGGTACATAAAATTTTGTGCAAATAAATAGACATAGGAGTATTATCATAATTTACCTTGTAGGTAGATTTAAGTTTGAGTCATATTATTTTAATGCTTTACTTGATTTTAAATTATGTTTTATTGTATATTATTTTCAAATAATATCAATTTATCTATATACTTCTTTCATCTCAAATTATCTATCGTGTTTCTCTTTTACATGCTTCTTAAAAAAATATTAAATAGATTTTTTTTGACTATATATCTTAAGATATAATCTCTATTTATTTAATACTTACTTATAATTAAGGTATTTGTAATCTTCAAGAACAATTAATATTAAGGGTAGAATAAGAAACAAATAATTAATTTACTCTTGAACTTTTAAAATGAAAAATCATTTGAGATAATTATTTTTGAAAATCACAGTATATAATTTGAGATGGAGAAAGTATATTCTCTAAATTCTTTAAGTGGTATTTATACACAAATTTAAAATCCAGAAATTTCTGATAGGAAGTAGTATATGGTCTTTCCTTAAATAAATCTTCTTCTCTTGTTACTCTATAGAAAACACTTGTTCCTTCTGTGACACTATCTGAATCCACAGACACTTGATCTTTTTATCTCTCTTTCATTCTCATTTCACCCTACTTATGGAAAGTTCAATTACACTTTGACTTTGTCACTCCTCTTTTGGCATTCCATATATACTCACCCCCACAAGGCAATTTCCACTTCCCTCTCTACTTCGTTGCATTAATTAATGGCTGAATTTGGAGTTGAACCACCATATTCGGAGACCCGAAGCAATAGCAATTCGTCCTATTTTCCATCCTCATTCTCTTCCAATTTCACAAAGAACATGGTGTCGGACACGTCCAACAAGTCAAAAACAGAGGAACCAGAAGAGAAACGTAGGATAAAGCGAATAAGCGATCAGTACTTCAACAGTACTGAAAACAGAGCATACCCAGTTTATAGAGGAGTTCGAATGCGAAGTTGGGGCAAATGGGTGTCTGAAATTCGACAACCTCGTAAGAAATCTCGTATTTGGCTCGGCACTTATCCAACCCCAGAAATGGCTGCTAGAGCACATGATGTTGCCGCGCTTAGTATTAAAGGAGAATCAGCAATTCTTAACTTCCCTCAACTTGTTGAGTCACTTCCTCGTCCAGCTTCAGTTTCCCCTAGAGATGTTCAAGCTGCTGCTGCAAAAGCAGCTGCAATGGAAGATGTCCTAAATTCTGCTTCGTCTTCGGTCAGTACGTCGATGGAAACAACAGCAGCATCAGAAGAACTGCTAGGCCAGATTATAGAGTTACCGAGTTTGGAGGGGACTTTTGACTCGGACGAGTTGAAGTTGAGTGACTCGGCTGAGAGGTGGGTGTATCCGCCATCGCCGTGGGGGGCATTCGATGGCGAATTTTGTGGGTATTTATTTGAGCAGACTGTCATTGGAGAGAGTTTAATATCTAGCACAGATTGGAGATGTTGAAATGGATTGAATCCTGATAATGTTGATCAAAGCGCTAGCAGTGTGACCATTATAGTTTTTTTTTTCTTTGTGAGTTAAAAAAATAATTGTTTCTTTGCCTTTGGATGATACGGTATGCTCTGTTCATAATTATAATCATAATTCTTCTTCGTACACGTTTGTGAATAAAAGAACTCTCTTTTCTTTACTTTATTATAACAAGCATTAAAGTTGTTAGGCATTGTGCAATATGGACGAACCCGATATTGGGATTAAGTTTCAGTTATGTTAATACATTTAAGGTACACTAGTTTCGACTAATAAATTTTTAATCTTGTTAGATATTCATATACTGTACTATATTAATTTCTTATAAGATGAAATTAATGAGCATAAATGGAACAGACATGAACTCATGTAATTGTTGTTATTAGTCATGCATTGTGCTAAAATGTTTGTCCTAGTAAAACTTGTACCATCTTAGTTTTATCTTCAAACATAATTGCATTGCTTTTGAATTGACAGCTTAATAGTTTTGCAACATAGTGAAAGGTTAACCTCAGCATATGTTGTCTTCTCACGTCCAAAGTTTCAATGATCTTGATTGGCCACGGGTTCCTTGCGCCCCTATTTCTATAAGAGTCGATCTTTATGTAATTTTAAGCCCCTGTTGAGATACCTATGCACCATCCAAGAGTAGGATGTATCATATATTATACTTTTTTTTCATTTTAATTTATATGACATATTTTTTTATTAGTTTGTTCAAAAAAGTATAAAATATTTATATATTAAGAAATAAATTTTTTATTTTACCAATTTTATTCTTAATGATACGTTATTATAGCCACACATATTAAAGGTCCTTTAAAAGCTTTTATCCTCTAAACATTTAAAAAAAAAAAATTTTTTAAAACTTCGAACCGAATCAAACAATCTCAAGTAAATTAAAACTAGAACCATTTGCCTTTTGTGTTATCTTTTAGGTACCCACAAATTAAAGTACAGTAGCGTGGTTCTTTTGTATAAATAATGCTAATTACGTGACCTAGTCTGTAACTTGTTATTGGGGCCGTTTGTTCACTCCTCATTGGCTCTTTGCACTCAAAAGTCAAAACTTGCACCATCTTTTAATTAGATACTGCTAGTCTGCTACCATACGCGTTACAGACAGTTAAAGACTGATGTTTACACTTGACAGTTGGTTTTTTTGGTCAGGACCCCCCATTTCTATTTTTTTTCCTTAAAATCATCCTTAAGAGAAACTACAATTGTTTCTATAAATAAACTAGAAAGAGAAGTGGGTAGGGGCTATACACAAGGATCGTGATTGGAAGTAAATTCAAATTCATATGCATTACCATGTCATTTTCGGAGTTCAATACTTGGCAGTGTTGTCAAATTTCTTTTCTTTAAAGAGGCTGGACTCACTCTTTCTTTTGGATGACTCTTTTCTTTTCTTTTTTTAAAATATGTTTCAAAAGAATGATTCCTTTTTAATTTATAAATATTTTAATTTAAAATTCTCATTTTATTCGTATTGACTAACTTTATAACTCGATAAATATTGTAACATGTTTAAGATTACAAATTTTATAGTCATACAAATATTATAGCATGTTTAATATTATAACTTTCAAGCTTCTCAACTTGTTAGTTTTATGTGAATAAATAAATAGGTAATTACTCCTACCGGCTTTTTTTCAGTTTGAATGAACCATAAATTTTAATTTTCACCATAAAGTCACACACTGACTAATAGAAAAAGCAAATGTTTATCAGTCCATTACAACCGTTGTTGATTTGAACGAGTTGAGTTTACTGGAGAGGTCTTAAGTGGGCAATAATTGTGCACTCTCCTTGACATCGCAATGTGCAGCCACGCCATTCAACATTTCGAATTGTCATTTTCTTGTCAACTTGCCTCTGATTGAAGTGGATGCTAATTAATCTAGTTATACATATGTTCCCCTCTTATTCGTCCATTTACGGCCGTTTTGTATTGTCAATTCTTAGACAACAGTTGGGTGCCAACTCATCCTCAACTTGATGTTTCCACGCATTACCCCAAATACAGGGGCNATATATATATATTTTAAATTAAAATTTTAATTATTAGCATTTGAATTTAATTATTACCATGACCTTCGCCTCTGCCCCAATATGATTTAAAATGAAAAACAAATATATTGAAAATATAAGCTAAAGACGCTTCAAAACAATTCAAGATTTTGACTTCTCTAAAAAGCTATATTATATTTTTTGTTTTTGTCTGATCCCTTCTGTGCACTTTAACATTTTTTTTTTGTGGTTCACACTATTTAATTTTTTCAGATATCAAGAAGGAATTAACTTTTTTTTCTCAAAGTTGTCCTTGAAGTAAAGAGTCTATGAGTATTTATTGTAATTTCAATTAACAAGTTAAGATTAATATGGTCAATTATATCGATAATTAATACTAAAAAGTGAATTTCTTAATATAAGTGAAAATAACTTAAAAATTAATTAAAGTGGATTGGAGGAAGTATAAGACAATAGTAACATTTAACTTTCTATAAAAAGCAAAGGTTGGACCCAAACCCAGTTCTGGTTGGTATAAGGTAGGACCTAGAAGAGTAGAAGTTATCGTTCTCTAAAATTAAAAGGGCGTTGAAACGCTAAGTATCTGTGTGTGATGAGTTAATTAATGACTAATAACACTAAGGAAAAATACATAAATTATCTTTTTGTTATAAGAAATATCAAATTATGGTGGATGTTTATTCTTCCCCCATGAGTTTTATCTTAAATGCTTAATGACATATTCAATGACATATTTTTTATGTTTAATGACATATTCAATGATATATTTTCTTCACTTTTCATGCCTATATAAATGCCTTATAATAGATAGGAAAATACACATAATTGAAGAAGAATTAAGAATCTCTTCTCTCTTTCTCTATATATCTCTTAGCTTGTTTTTTCCTTTTTTTTATATTGTTACTTTGAGTTATATTTTATAATACGTTATCACCACGAAGTTCTAGCCAACTGAATTGTTATGATGCGGCCAGTGCCGGTAGCGTCATTTAATGTTAATAATATGGTAAGAATGATGACGGTATAAGGTGTACAATGCCAACATATATTCGGCCATCATGGTTAGCCTTTTCTAATTAATTTTCAAGTTTCTTTACACTTTGCTATTTATGTTTCCATACATGAACAAAATTAGTTTACGAAAAAGTTTTTCTTGAAAGTTCATCGAATCATGTAAGGATTTTTGGTGTAAAAAACGATAAATATTTTTCCTATAACAAATATTATGTTCCTATGTGTTAATATTAAAAAACACGAAGTGAAGACTTTTGAGAGAGCACATATTTTTTCTTTTTATTTTATCACATATTTCTTCCATCTTAAAGTGGGATAATTATCACAAAGGACACGTAGATTTTAATTGATTATGTGTTTTTCTATATTTGCTTGATACTTTTTATTTGATTGAGTTCAGTTAATGAAAGTTCGTATATGCAAATTAAATTCAATCGCCACCAATAGTGGAAACCTATCCCATAAGTCTAAAATAAGACATGATATTACCGTGGAAGCATGAATAGATGTGGATATGATAATGGACGGAATTATAATCGTCATCATTATGATAATTAGAACAATAATGGCTCTCAAAATAATCCTTCACTTTGTGAAAGTGATGTTTGCCATTGATATGGCATGAGATTTTGTAAAGCACGCATGGATTATTATGTTCCATTCCTGAAGTGAATGTGAAAATAATGTGATAATCATTATGAATACATATTAATTTTTGGAAGAATATGAACGTGCTAGTGGTAGTAAATATACCACATCACCTCGAGAAGGGGGTTTGAGATGAAATAAGAAAATAATGTCATTATTATGGCATGAATGGTCATTGGTCACGTACCTATTGTACGACAAAATATTTTGGCAATGTGATTATTAAAGGACAACAATAATGCAAGAAACAGATCTTGCATCTAGTTTTGACCATGACCATAATGATATAACTTTCTCTTTAAAAGAGATATTTACCGTATAGATGTTGATGAATATATGGTAGTATAAAATTAATTGAAGGATCTGGAAGAGCTACTATAACTCTGCATAATGGAACAATACTTATCATAGAGAATGCAATGTTCTCCTCCAAGTCCAAGAGGAACTTGTTGAGTTTTAAAAATATCTGCCGAAATGGATTTCATATTGAGACAATAGATGAGAATAATCTCGAATATCTCATCGTTACCAAGAATGTCTTTGGCCAGAAAAGGGTTATTGAGATGTTCCCATCTTTATCTTGTAGCCTGTATTGGACAAGAATTAGTGCAATTGAGGCGCATTCTATCGTAAACCAAAAGGTTACTAATTGCAATACTTTTGTACTTTGGCATGATCGATTGGGACATCCCGGATCAATTATGATGAGACGAATTATAAAGAACTCAAATGGGCATCCATTAATCAATTTAAAGATTCTTTTAAATAATAAATTTTCTTGCACTTCTTGTTATCAAGGCAAGTTGATTATTAGACCATTACCAATAAAGGTTGTGATTGAGTCCCCTGCATTTTTGGAACGTATACAAGGGGATATTTGTGGACCTATTCACCCACATAGTGGGTCGTTTAGATATTTTATGGTCTTAATATATGCATCTTCTAGATGGTCTCATGCATGCCTATTGTCATCTCGCAACCTGATATTTATAAAATTAATGACACAAATAATCCGATTATGGGCACAATTTTTCGATAATCCAATTAAGTCTATTAGACTTGATAATGCCACTGAGTTTTTGTCACGACTCGAAATTCTCATCTTCGGGATTGTGATGACGTCTAATATTTTACTTGCTAGGCAAGCCAACGTTAAGATAATTTTATCCATTTTAAACAAATTAAATTAAACGGAAGTCAATTACTAAAATAAAGTGCGGAAGACCATACCTAGCGAATCATCAAAATACATTCCCGAATCTGGTGTCACAAGTGCACGAGCTACTATAATAATACAAATAAAGGTTTGAATAAAATTCAAGTTGTTTGAAAGATAATACACAACTAAGATAAGATAGAAGGGAACTTCAGAACTGCGGACGCTGTGCTGTTATACCTCAAGTCTCCTCTGGATAGCTGAATCCGAGAAAGTCTATGGTACGCCGCTGGGACCAACTCCAAAAT